ATGACAGATTTACACATTTATTGCTCACTTTGAACCTTTTGATTCTCAATACATCTATATTGACAATTTTTTTCTGAATATATTAGTCAATGAAAAGTATCTCAAAATATTATGAACTATGAAATGATTAAAAGAAAGACGGAAATTAAGAAACATACATAAGCACGTGTGTATATATACACATATTTACATACATTACACTCGGAACCATATACAGTTAAACAAACAAAAGCACACTGTCCGGATACATTCAAACACAGAAACACTTGCTTACACACATACAAAAGCATATCACACACACGCTCTTTATAACTGTGATTCTTGGGTCTGAAACTGCCAATGCTATGGCAAAAAGGTCCAGTCAATTTTGCTCAGTACACAATGATTATAAGGTAATGTATTTGGCTGATATCACATATTTCAAGTACCTAAGACACACCTCTGTCGCTCAAGAAGCTATGTGTTTATCGTCAAAAATAAGTCGTTTTATGTAGGGTGTCCTCTCTTTATGATACTCTAATAGAAAAGAATTCTTTTCTTCTAACTTCAAGATGTCTATCAACCCAACAAAACTCTTACTCTTTTCCTTGCCTTTCGCTACCTCACGTGTCTAAAAACAGATATCAATAAAAAGCTCTTTGTTTTCCCCTCTTATGGGAAAGATTACGGCTGGCTACCTCGTCACGTGATGCTGTGATTGACGTACTGTTGCTCATTGACCCCTCGGTACAAACAATATAGAATCATACGTACATGAACTCATACACTTCAGCCTCTCTCTCTCTCTCTCTCTCTCTCTCTTGTTTCTCTTTTTTATCCTCTTTTTCACGGTTTGTCACTGGCTGTTTGCCTGTCTGTCTGTCTGCTTGTCTGTACGTCCCTCTCTCTCTCTCTCTCTGTTTCAAGCAAAAATACATATGCTTATATAAACACACACGCACGTACCCATACACGCTTACACACACGCACACACACAAACAGAAACACACACACACACACACACACACACACACATACACCGCTTGTGCAGAAGGACGAGGCAAAGCTCTTTTAGCGGGAAATGCTGATCTCGGAGATGGAACATGAAGGTGCAAGCATCAAACAAATATTTCTCCCAATAGCATGTTACATAATATGCGGTAACTAGCAGTATGTTACCACAACATAATACACAGTACACATAGTGTATTGCGCGCGCTCTCACCTTGGCCAGGTTTGTAACAGCCGGGTCTTCAAACTCCGTCTCTGAAAAAAACGTATATTTTTTGGCAGGGGAGGGGGGGAATTTTCACAATTTTCGACATTTTGGAGAGTAGGAAGGTCGCACTTTTATAATGCTTCCCCTACACTTGCATAACGCATATGCTGACTGATTTGCGTTGATCCAGGGAAACGTTAGGGTTACAGAATACGCACCAATTTTTCCCCATTTTTTCCTGATTCGAAAATTGCAAGCTTTGATCCTCCGTGCAGCGTATAGATTGCATTCGTTAGAGAAAACGTTGAAAATGTGAGCGAACAGACAAAATATTGCAACACTGGCATTACTCTATGAAAGTAACAGAAACAAGGCTTTTGCCGACGAACTGCTGCTTCTGCGCGCGCTCTCCGTAAGCTCATGGCCACGGTGCCTCTCTCAGTGCCTTGGGGGCGGGGGTCGTGGGGCACAGGGCAAGAGGAGACCATGAGAAGGAGAAGGGATATGAGAAGGGCGTGAGGAGGAATATGAGGAGACCATGAGAAGGGCGTGAGGAGGATATGAGAAGGGCGTGAAGAGGAGAGAATATGAGAGAAGGGCGTGAGGAGGATATGATGATAGGAGAAGGGCGTGAGGAGGATATGAGAAGGGCAGGAGAGGATATGAGAAGGGAGAAGGGCGTGAGGATGATGAGAAGGGCGTGAGGAGGATATGAGAAGGGCGTGAGGAGGATATGAGAAGGGGGTGAGGAGGATATGAGGAATGGCGTGAGGAGAAGGGCGTGAGGAGGATAGGAAGGGCGTGAGGAGGATATGAGAAGGGGGTGAGGAGGATATGAGAAGGGCGTGAGAAGGAGGATATGAGAAGGGCGTGAGGAGGATATGAGAGGGCGTGAGGACCATGAGAAGAGGAGGAAGGGCGTGAAGAGGATATGAGCGTGATATGAGAGGAGGGAAGGAGACCGTGATGAGAAGGGCGTGATGAGAAAGGGCGCGTGAGGAGGATATGAGAAGGGCGTGAGGAGGATATGAGAAGGGGTGAGGAGGAATGAGGGGCGTGAAAGGGGATATGAGAGGGCGTGAGGAGGATATGAGAAGGGCGTGAGGAGGATGAGCGTGAGGAGGATATGAGAAAGGGCGTGAGGAGGATATGAGAAGGGCGTGAGGAGGATAGAAAGGGCGTGAGGAGGATATGAGAAGGGCGTGAGGAGCGTGAGGAGGATATAGATGATATGAGAAGGGCGTGAGGAGGATATGAGAAGGGCGTGAGGAGGATGAGAGAGGGAGGAGGAGGATATGAGAAGGCGTTGAGGAGGATATGAGAAGGGCGAGGAGGATATGAGAAGGGCGTGAGGAGGATATGAGAAGGGCGTGAGAGGATATGAGAAGGGCGTGAGGAGATATGAGAAGGGCGTGAGAGGATATGAGAGGGCGTGAGGAGGATATGAGAAGGGCGTGAGGAGGATATGAGAAGGGCGTGAGGAGGATATGAGAAGGGGTGAGGAGGATATGAGCGTGAGAGGATATGAGAAGGGCGTGAGGAGGTGAGATGAGGAGGATATGAGAAGGGCGTGGAGGAGGATATGAGAAGGGCGTGAGGAGGATATGAGAAGGGCGTGAGGAGGAGAGAAGGGCGTGAGGAGGATATGAGAGGGCGTGAGGAGGATATGAGAAGGCGTGATATGAGAAGGTGAGGAGGATATGAGAAGGGAGGAATATGAGAAGGGTGTGAGGAGGATATGAGGAGGATATGAGAAGGGCGTGAGGAGGATATGAGAAGGGCGTGAGGAGATATGAGAAGAGCGTGAGGAGGATATGAGAAGAGCGTGAGGAGGATATGAGAAGGGCGTGAGGAGGATATGAAAAGGGCGTGAGGAGGATATGAGAAGACGTGAGGGATATGAGATGATATGAGAAGGGCGTGATATGATGAGGAGGATATGAGAAGGATATGCGAAGGGCGTGAGGAGGATATGAGAAGGGCGTGAAGAGGATATGTGAGGGACATGAGAAAGACGTAAAGTATGACTAGAATGGCAGTAAATGATGCGATATGAGGTAAAAGAAGTGATATGCATAGAGAAATAAGAAGAAAAGGGAGTGAGGAGGAAAGAGGAACTCGGCAGATCATAGAAGGACGGACTATGAAGGGGTAGATGGGATTTGACATGAGGGGATGAGGGATGGGAAATGTGTGAGATAGAGAGGAAGATGAAGAGAGAGAAAGTGGGTGGGAGGGGAGTGTGGTAGAAAGAGAAAGAGAGAAGAGAGAGAGAGGATAGATAGATATAGATAGATATAGATAGAGATAGATAGAGAGAGAGAGAGAGAGAGAGAGAGAGAGAGAGAGAGAGAGAAAGAAAGAAAGAGAGAGAGAGATAGTGATAGATAGGTATACAGATACATCTAAAGATAGATAGATAGATAGATAGATAGAAAGAGAGAGTGGGCAGCAGGGTGGGAGAGAGAGGGGAGAGAAAGAAAAGAGAGATAGAGAGAAAGGGAGAGAGAGGAGAGAGGAAGAAAGAAAGAAAGAGAAAGAGAGGGAGAGAGGAGAGAAAGAAAGAGAGAGAAAGCGGGCGATGGGAAGAGAGAAGAGAGAAATAGCGATAGATATGTTAACACATAGATAGAAAGATAGATATATAAATAGATAGACAGAAAAGGAGAAGGGGGAGTAAGAGAGAGAAAGAAAGAAAGAGAGATAGCGATAGATAGGTATATAGATAGATCGAAAGAAAGATAGACAGAGAGAAAGAGAGAGAGAAAGAGAGAAGAGAGAGAGAGAGAGAGAGAGAGAGAGAGAGAGAGAGAGAGAGAGAGAGAGAGAGAGAGAGAGAGAGGAGAGAGAGAGAGTGGGCGACAAGGTGGGAGAGAGAGGGGAGAAAGAAGAGGGAGAGGAAGAGAAATAGAAAGATAGATAGAGAGAGAGAGAGAGATAAAGATAGATAGATAGAGATAGAGGATGAGAGAGAGAGCGGGCGACAGGGTGGGGTAGAGAGAGAAGAGAGATATAGCGATAGATAGGTAAACGCATAGATAGAATGATAGACAGAAAGATAGATAGATCGATAGAAATATAGAAAAAGAGAGAGAGAAATGTAATCATTTAGCATTTCGATTGCATTTCATATTTTATTCCAAGTCTGATTAGATGTCGTTGTGAGGGACACCCAATATCACGGACAAACGTTTTTGACAGGAAAAACACATGACGTTTAATGCCACTGGATATGGCGGAAGGGAAAGCTCATGGCTATGCACAGAGTACCGTGATGATAACAGTGTGGTTATCATCACGATTCCGAGCCTTTTTCAGAAAGGGAAATGTAGGAATTAGATGAACATAAAGCGGAGAATGGAAACGTTATGTAAAGGAGACGTCATGATGCTGAGGTTGTGCTGTGAACGATGATGATACCTGTGCAGAGGAGGGGACTGTATAACACGGTGCAGGGAGTGATATTGTGTATTTAAAGTTTAAAGTTTTCAGCGCGTCATGATGGTGGTGGATGTTATGTTGTTTTTGTGAACGTCGAAAAAGGTGATGGAGAGGTAAAGGGCGAGTGTGATAGCGAGTAGCAGATCGCACACAAATTGCAGGAGATCCCCCTTTGTTCATTGCACCGTTTGTACACCATGCACAATACTAAATCGGTCTGCGGCGCACAATCTTTTGGCGAATATCCACAACGCTACTGTGACGACAGCACGTGTTCCACTGTAATATCACTAGACTTGTTTTCCATAGCTTAGCGTCCTCACTGGGCTATGTAACGAAAGAGTTCCACTTGCGAGCGTCACTAATGAAGCAGTCGAACAAGCACAGCCAAACTGTCCACTCTATGCTTTGGTGAAGAAACAGTCCATCTTGTTCCTGACTTCTTGCTCTGACTACTTCCTAAAGTGTCAGGGAATACTGCCTGTCCCTGACTACTGCTGAAACGTCAGGAATGTATCCTTGTTCCTGACTACAGCTGAACTGTCAGGAGCTCCTATTTGCCCCTAACTGTCGAAGTATCAGGACCCGTTCCTTGTTCCTGAATACTGCTGAAGTGTCAGCTACCTCGATGCGTTGCTGCTAATTGATAGCCTCTTGGCTGTTCAACCACAACAACCTTCTGCTGTTGACTACAAATGGTGTGTCATTACCTCCACGTGTTGGCTGCAACAAGAGAGTTTCGTGTATGTTAGGGAGTTCTAAGAATGATAAGGGTGATGATGGTAATAGTAACAGTTATGTTAATCGTGAGAATGTGATATCAATGCCAATAATACTAGTATAATAAAAAGTATGGGAAAAGGATCATAACATAATAATAACAATAGTAAAGATATTCATAACACCAATAACAGCGGATGATGATTACAACAACAATAATAATAAATATGTCTATGATAGTAATAATAACTACTCTAACTAGCACTCAGAGAGCGCATACCTCCGCCAAGGCAGTATGGTCACTGATGTAATAAGACTATTCACATTTGAAGAATTTTTATATTATAATAAACTCTTTCTCAAGTACGCTGGTGATGTCCGTGTTCCCTATCTCGCAATGCTAACGAATTCTTCAAACATTTTCTGGATCCGGATCACCACTTAAATCTAATGGCATCTAAGTTTGGTAAAAAAAAACTGTTAACCTGTTCATAACTTCCAACAAACTTACCAACGCTACCAAAAACATAATCTCATAGGCGGAGGTATTGATAAGAACAACTACGATGATAATAATGATAGCAATGATAATAATGATAATGATAGTAATATAATGATAATGATAGTAATAATAATAAAAACAATGATAATAATCATAACGATAATAACAAAATAATTGTAATAATAACAATGGCAATAGTATTGTTATTATAATAACAATAGCTATAACAATAATAATGATAATAACAATAATATAATGATAATAATAACTATAATAAGAATTAATAATAAAATGATAATAAATGTGATAATATTAACAATAATGACAATAATGATAATGGTAACAATAATGATAAGGATAATAATAATAGTAATAGTATCAAAATAATAGCAATAACAATTACAGTAATACTAATAACGATAACAATAATGAAAATGATAATAACAACAATTAAAAGGATAATGACGTTAATACTACTACTAAAAATCATGATAATGATAACAAGAACCAGAACAAGAGCAACAACAACGATGATAATAAAAATGATAATGATAATAATAGTAATAATAATGATAGTAATAATAGTAAGAGTAATGATAATAATAAGGATAGTAATAATAATGTTAATAATGATAATAGTAACAAGGATTATAAGTTAATGATAACGATGATGATGGAAATAATGATAATAATAATAATAATAATAATGATAATAATAATGATAATAATAATAATAATAATATATAATAATAATAATAATAATATAATAATAATAATAATAATAATAATAATAATAATAGTAATAATAATAATAATAATAATAATGATATAATAATAATGAGTAATGATAATAATGATAAAACTAATGATAACATTGATGATAATAATAACACTGATAAAAATAATAAGATAACAATAGTAATAATAACAATGATAATGGCAATAATGATAATGATGATAATACGATGATAATAGTATTGATAATAATAATAACTATAATAAGAAAAGATACTGTTAACAATAAGGATAAACACACTACCTCTGCAGCGGCCTTATCCTTATCTTCTGCTACGAGTACTATTACTGCTGATGGTAATGATAATGATAACGATAATGAGGCTGATGAGAATGATAGTGATGGTTGCAGAAACACTGATAGTGAAATGGTGATAATGATGAAGATATTGATGACAATGGCGATGATAAAGAAGATAATGGTAATAATGATCATAGCAATGATAGTCAAAACGCTGCTGACAGTGATGGTCTTTGTGATGATAACAACACATGTTTACTACCACATGTATAATAACAACAGCATATTACGAAATAATGGTTAGATTAAGAAAGACAAATTATTGCGCAATATCTCAGGGAATAATAGATGATTAAGCAAAGAAAATCAACCCAAAAGCTTGTTTTCTCCCTAAGATGCCAGATGTTGCTTTATTTCCCACAGCACCGCGCCCAAGAAGCACAGACAAGGCGGACTCACCTGTATAATACATCTGCGGGGCCATGGAGGGACAGTGCAGCTGCCTGCTGTTGGTGAAGTCAATGTTCGTTCGCAGCGGCCGATGATACAGCTGCTGAGTAGGTCGGTAGTTATTCAGCATTTTGCCCTTTGGCATGTCCTTGCTGCCCTGGTGTATCTGGCGCAGGCCGTGGAGCTGTCGGGCAAAGAATGGGGTGGTTAGTTGTTTTGATCGAGTGAGCAACAAATTCTGCGTGAGAAATGGGTCGCGCGCTGTTCGCTTTTGTGTATGTTGTCTCTCCCTTTCACTCATCCCACCCTTCTCTCTCTCTCCTCTCTCCTCCTCTCTCCTTCTTCTCCCTCGTGTGTGTTTCTTTGGATGGTTTTCCGGTTAGTTATGCAGCGTTGATGAATAGCATTTCGGTCTTGTGTTGTCCGTATGTTGTTGTTCCCTTTGAGTGTGTAAATACCCTTCCAGAATTTGTTTCCCGAATGTTGATTACTTTTCCCCGTGTGCATTGTACTCGTGGTATTGTCATGTTGCGTATAATCAGGCCGCCGTGTCTGCAGTTCCCCGTCGTGTAAGGTAATCGGCACGGCTCCTTCGCCACAACTTCAGGATAAACGCTATTCATGGTTTTGGGTTTGGTTTCGAGCCTCACCTGCTGCTTGGTGATGTAGACGGGGCGGTTGACGAGGACCCAGGTGACGGTCTCGTGGCAGGGGGGCTGCGTGAGGGACCCGTCGTAGGTGATGTAGTGGTGGCTGTCGGGCAGGAGCGCGCGCACGCTCACGCGCTCCACCAGCGAGGAGGTCCCGGCCCACCGCACCCTCTGCACCGCATCCGTCAGCGGCCGCAGCCCCGGGTGCCCCTGGGTTCCCAACTGCGGGAGGGAGAAGGCGCGAACAGGTTACCAACAACGCCGAGATATAGATTTGTTTTTCGCGTATACAGGGCCAGCAAACGAGCGAGACCACGTGACGCCGACCGCGAATCACCAATACGGCCGAAGGAAACTAATGTGACATCTTGTGCCACCACTTCGCCTGAACATTCCACTGAAACTCCACATTCATCCGACTCTGCCCTCAAGCATTTGCCGAAGGCCGCGCTCGCCCTGCGCCTATGCCACACTCGCAAGACGTTATCCGAAAATGTGCTGATAACAGACCGCGATATCATAAGGGACACTTAACCCGATGCCGGAAATGACTGCCGGCATTTTACACGCCTCGGGAGGGCCGGCGAATGTTGCAGCTGCAAGCCAAGATGCCGCTGAATGGGATCACTTTGCACCACAAAGTAAAAGCTCGGCGCCGCAGAATGTGCAGGAGAAAGAGCGGGCTGAAGGACACGCGAAGGAAGGGAACACGAAATTGAATTAGGGAGGAAAGTAAGACGTGGGTGACGCGGTCTCAGAGCAGAGGTAGCATATAATGTATGTATGTATAGACATACATACATATATATAGTATATATATATATATATATATATAATATATATATATATAATATATATACATTACATATATATATATATATATATTATATATATATATATATATATATATATATATATATATATATATATATATATATATATATATATATATATATATATATATATATATATATATATATATATATATGTATATATATACTATATATATATATATATGTATATATATATATATATATTATATATATATATATATATACATATATACATATATATATAATATATATAATATTATATATATATATATAGTATATATATATTATATATATATATATATATATATACATATATATATATATATATAGTATATAAATATATATATATATATATATGTATATTATATATATATATATAGTTATATATATATATATATATATTATATATATATATATATATATATATATATATTATATATATGTGTGTATGTGTGTGTATACATACGTACATTCACACACACATACACACACATATATATACATATGTATATATTTGTATATATATATATATATATATATATATAATATATATATATATATATACATATATATATATATATATATATATATATATATATATATATATATATTATATAATATATATATATATATGTATATATATCCATATATATTTTTTGTGTGTGTGTTGTGTGTTGTGTGGAAATGATCAATTGATTGCCTTCACAACAATATGAACAATAGAGCGCGTCATGTTAACACCACGCCCCTGCTCCAGCAAAGGTCATCTCGCCACCATACAAACAGCAGAGCACAGGTCACACCCATACCAAGCCGTCAGCAGAGGAGGAGGCCGCTTGGATGCCATATGAACAGCAGCAGAGCGCAGGTCCTATTGTATAGCATGTTACAGCAGAGCATGGCGATCGAGGAGGGACAGGTGAGGTTGCCTATGTTTCATGCGCGAAGTGAGAGATGCATGATGTGGATCTATAATACGTGACCACGAGATGCAACATAGAACAAGAGATATATTGAGGGGAGGTTATGAAAAAGGGAAGAAAATGTGGTAAGGTTTATAATAGAAGGTGTAAAGCATTGGCGTAACCTGCTGTCGAAGGGTAATCTATTCTAAATTAAGTTTAAATAAGTGTTGAAGTTTGAGACACAATAAAGATCTCTTAGATTAAAAAAAAAATTCAGAATGAAATCATAAACTGAAAGAAAGAGAGAGAGAGAGAACAAAAAACAAGCCGGCAACAAAATGAACAAAAGAAGAAATCATAGCGCAAGAGGAAACCGAGACGGCAAACAAAGCCGGAAAATCGTTGCAGAAAATTACCACTTAGCAAACAAAACAGGTGGAGCTGTAGGGTCGCCAGGTATGTACCGTAGCGGCCGCCGCTGTCTCATTTCCTCTCATTTCCCCTTAATTTCCCAGCGACACGGAGGTGACACAGACATCTGCTCCTTCACAACCACCGCACTGTTCTCCAACCCCGACCCCTTAACCCGAGTCGTTGGTCCTCTTTATTAACTTAACTCTACGCGGCGAGCCTCCTTATTTCACTTACTAAATTAATCTCATTAGGCCGTCGCCTATCAGCGCCGTCTCATAAATACTCTCCTGCGAAGTGGCGGAATCTTCTCCATTAGACCCAAACACACACGCGAAGCCCATGATGAAAAAGTAATTATTGCTCCAAATCACACAACATGGAAATTGTAATCACATAATCGCTATCCTTTGCATGTAAATAGACACCACAACAGAAAACGATGACCTACCTGCAGAAGGACAGAAATAGCCACCACGCCATGAGCACGGTTGACAGCTTCTGAGAAGTTGCTGAACAGCTGTGAGTTGAATCCGTAGACTTGGAGCTGGAAAGCAGAGAATCAGGGCATTTAGGGCTATAGTAAATTAAATAAGCATATATGTGTGTAGAATACTGCCATGAAAGAGAAAAAAAACAGAATGGTAAAAAGTAGACAGATAGGAGAAGTGAAGATTGAAAGGAAAATGAATAAATAAACAGAGGGAGAGGGAGAAAGCTAGAGAGAGAGAGAAAGGTGGGGCAAGCAGAGAAAGAAAAAAGACAGACAGACAGAGAGACACACAGAAAGAAAGAAAGTCGAAAAAGGAAAAAAAAAAAAAAGACTATAGAAGAGCTGATATCCACTTAAAATAGATGCAAGAGTGATAACTCCCGCTCGCCCCCAGCCCCCCTCCAGACGGACTGTAGCAACATAGCACATAGCATGCCATTCGGGACCAGCAAACACGTTACTGAACTTGAAACCTAAGTTTGTGCAGAGCCAGGCTGGAACGCGCTAATAATTACCACTAACAAATGTTCTTATCAATTTGCTATCAACACTGTTTAAGTGTCTGGTGGGGCCGCTCCTCAGTTCTGAGCTGGAACTTATGGTGTCCGCCCACCCTTCTTCTCTCGCCGCTGTCTTTTCAACTGTTTTTGAGAAGCAGCATGTTCAGTTTGTTTTAAGAGATGTGAGTTTGCCGGGCTGGTATTTAAGAATTGTCTCGGCATCGTACGTCTGAATTAAGAAACCTCTGGTTTGTGCACTGCAGAGCTGAAAGTAATTATTATGAATCGCATGCTTGCACCGCGACATTCATCTGGGAAATTCATAATTGTATGGGGATAAGGCCAAGTGGAAACATGCTTGTCTTCTGGGGCTTTCTTTTGTCCTGTCTTTCCTGTCTAATCCGAGTTTTTCTCATTAAACAGTGATTGTTTTAGAAATATAGACAAGAGGAAGGAGCAGCGCTCTGTAATGCACTAGATAGTTCTACTTTTTACGTTTGCTATCCAAGAAAAATATGTCTGCAGTTTTGGCATTATTTTAATTGGCAATAGGCGCCTGATAGAACGGCGCTTGTTTATATAGAGTTCATTTTATGTTATTGTATTAATTAATTGTTTTAGTTGTTATTGTGAATTATCCTGTGTTTTTTGGTGGCGATTGGCTGCAGATTGACGAAGCAAGCTGAACAAGGCTGAATATGTAACTTGAATCTGTCCTTGATTGTATTTCCTGTTTGTAGTTTTCTCCCCAATATTGACTTTTTCCTTGATGCAATATTGGTGTTTACATATAGGGGTTTTACTTTTTGTGCTTCATGTCTGTCCTTTCTATAATTTAATGTAGTTGAAATGGGTACATTTGACATTGCAGTCTCTCCCGTTAACGTCTATCTTCTTCTTATTTCCTGTCCACGCCTGTTCTGCTTCTTTCTCGTTATTATAACTATCTTTCTCCCTGGTTCTGCCTTTACTAACTTCACTCTCTTTTGTCTTTCTTTTTTTTCACCCCAATCCCTTTTTTTTATCTATAATGTCTGTATTCTCCTTATATTTTCTGTCCTCTAATTTGTTCATCTGGTTGCTCTCGTTTTTCCTTCTCACTTCTCTATCTCTCGTCTCTCTCATATCTATGGCTATCTATATCCTCGTCATTGTAGATGTATATTATATATATATAATAGTCCTTTAACATATTTATATTCTATATATATTATCCTTTACTCCGTATAATAATATATATAGAGTATATAATATGGGGTTCTGTCTATCTGTTCATACATGAGACTGTTATCCATTTACGTATTTAACCTCACCCTTACTCTTAATCTATATATTATATCATTATATCTACTACCTGTATAGTTATACCTATATAACCCTATATTATTATTATATTAACTTACTACTTTCACTTAATTTAGCTACTATACGATACTGATATATTGTGTGTGGGTGGTGTGTGTGTGGTGTGTTGTGTGTGTGTGGTGATGTGTGTGTGTGTGTGTGTGGTGTGTGTGTGTGTTTGTGTGTGTGTTGTATATATGTATGTGTATATGTATACGTATATACTTCTTTCTCTCTTTCTCTCTCGAATGCTTTTCATCTTATCTCTGCCTGTATCAAATGTATACTATCTATATCCGCCTGCCTCTGTCCTCTCGTTCACTCGCCCTTTTTCTCTATTCTTCTTCATCTATTTTCAATAAATGTCTCTTTCTCGCTATCTCCGATTTCTCTCTTCATCTGTCTACTGACACACACTCACACATACACACGCACATAAATTTACAGATAGATATATAGATAGAGAGAGAGAGATAGGTCGATATATAGATAGACAAAGAAAGAGAGGTGCTCATAGAAAGAAAACTAGCTCTACAATAGATAGATAAACACGGACAGATTTGCTAATCAGCCCACAGTATCCGCCACACCCGCATACATTTTCAAAACCTCATTTTTTCCCCCTAAAATCCCGAAGGCCCGAGGCAGCCTGAGCGACGAGCCCGACGCCGACCCCGCTCCCGAGGCCAGCAAGACCAGCCCGGCGGCGCACACACAGCCCAGCGAGAACCACCTGCAGCCGGCCTCCGCATGTGCGCCGTTCCCACGCCATAAGAATTCCCTCAGCGCCGCCCTCCTTTTCTGTATAATAGGCTTCTCATCAGATTTTCGAAAATCCCGTCAAAATAAATCCGGCGAATAAGGATTTAGATAATTAGGTTTGGAGGATTTTAAAATACATAAGCGGCTGCATGTGCCATTTCGCTGCAGAGTTTCGGCGGCGAAGTGAGGGAGACAAAACACGTGATGAATTTGAGTGACTGAATGAGCGACGATACGATGACCGACATAGAAAAAAAAAACAAGAAACTGTTGAAAGATAAGTAAAATAAGATCATATCGATGTTATATATTAGGAAAAGGGTTACATGAAATGATTTTGATTATCATTTGTTTAGGTTATGACAAACATGTCTACCTCTTTCTCCCCATCGCCTTCTGTACCTATGTCTGTCTTTCTTCATCTGTGTCTATGTTTACATCTTTCGAAATCTACTCTATGTTTATATCTACCTTTATTTGTATCTATATCCATATCTAAGTCTACATACGTATCTATTTCTGCATTTGTCTATATATACCTATATCTTGAACAATATCTATCAATAGCCATATCTACCTACATCTATACCTATCTATATATCAGTATCTAAATCTACATCTTTCTAGGTCTGTGCACTTATGTCTAGGTCTTTAGCTGCATCAAAATCTGGACCCATATTTATATATCAATATCAATACCTGTATTCTATTAAAACAAACAAACAAACAAACAAACAAACAAAAAAAAAACGAGGAAATTCGGACGATGTTGATACTCATAATTCGTCACTAATTTGGGAAATTCTCCTCATATCTACCTCTCCAAGTGGACCTTAACGCATGTAGTCTGCAGAAAATGTTTGAGGAAAAAAAAAGGAAAACGTTTAAAAGCGAACCGAAAGTTCAAATTCGGCGTCAGGAAAAAAAAGAAAGAAAAAAATACTATTTTTGTGAAGCAAGTTGGTGATCATCACACGAACAGAAAACGGAGATCTCAAAGAAATCGAGGATAGCCGGCGTGATTGAGTCTCGAAAACTCTTCTGTGCAAAAAGATGGAAAAGAAGAAAAAAAGAGAAAAGAAAAGAAAGGCGTACGAAAAAAAAGGAAAAGAAAAAAAAAAACTTTAATCATGACCTAACTTTACCCTCTTCTCTCGCCTCGTCTCCTCCACGGCTAAGTTAAGAAAGCTTGACTCCTTCTACATCTTAGAGACGATGCTGCATTTTGTCACAATTACCATATGTGAGGGGCTGTTTGAGGAGAAGAGGGGAGGGGAGGGGAGTGGGGCGGAGAGGGAGAGAGAGGAGAGTTGGAAGAAAGGGGGATGGGGGAGGAGGGTGAGAGAGGGAAAGGGAGAGGCGGGTGTGGGAAGTGAGGGGAAGAGGAGAGAAGGGGAGAGTTAGAAGGGAAGGGGAAGGGGAATGAGGAGGAGGAGGAGAGGGGGAGTAATAGGAGGGGAAGAGAACATTGGAAGGGAAAGGGAAGGGGAGGAGGAGAGGGGAGGGAGGTAGAAGGGAGAGGAGAGAGTGGGGTGGGAGAGAAAGAGGTGGTGGAAGGGAAAGAGGAGATAGTGGGAAAGGGAGGGAAAGGAAAGAGAATAGAAGGGGGAGGTAGAGGGTGAAATGAATGAGGAGGGGGGAAAGGGAAAGGCTATTTCAGGAGAAGAGGGGAGGAAAATGGGATGGGAAAGGACAGAGAAGAAGAGAAGAGAAAGGTATAAGACCTGTACTTGTGATCTTTTTCCTTATCCTTCATTTTAAGTTGATAAAGTTTTCGTCATTTCCTGAAGATGAGTATATCACTCTCATACGACAATCTCCCTCGTATCTAGTTTCTATTACTTTTTATTTTTTCCAAGACTAACTAAAGTACAAACTAAAATCATATTCTTCCTGCGTTGCCCAGCTGATATTACTGAAACTAAATTACTCTACCTCAGTGAGCTTCCCGGGCTAATCTAGTCATTAATTACCATTATATTTACACTTATTTCATGTCATTTGTTTTCAACATTTGTACTTAAAATGTATTCACTTGTGTTGAAATTCTCTGATCATTCGAATGCAAAATATCGATAATCTGAGATAAAGTTTGATTAAATAATGTCTAAAGTTTTCATGGTCACACAGACACACACAGACACACCCCACACAACACACACACACACCACAACACACACACACAATACACCCATATGATATATATAATATATATATATAAATATTATATTATATAATTATATATATGTATAATATATATACCTGTTATATATATATCCATATATGTATATACTATATATATATTGATATATATATAGTAGTTATATATAACTATCTATATATACTAATATATTACTATATACTACATATATCCCATTAATATAATATAATCCATATATGTATATATAATATATATATATACTACTAGTATATATATATACTGTATTA